ACAAAACCCTAAGTCTAATCATGGCATAATTGAAAGCTTAAAGGTGCGAGAATTTAAATTCTACACTATTACAACATGATATAGGGAGGGGGTACAAATTTGAATTGGGGATTATTTTGCAAGAAATTAAATCCTAAATTATTACAACCATATTGAATGGGTAAGGCATAATATTAAATATACAATATTTAAATAAATACAATCAATAAATAATAAATAAAATGTATTATGCAAAAAGTTTTTATGTATGTAAAAAAAGATTTTTTTAATGTGAAATGTAAATAAATAAAAAAAAGGGTCAATTTTAATTATTTTTGTTTTTAGGGCAAAAACCCTAATTTCTTAAATAAATAGTATCATTTAATATTTATATACAATAATGTATTAATTTGTACAAAAATATAAGTATATTGAAAAAATGATATTTTTAGTATAAAATATTAATAAAAATAAAAATGTATTATTTTTTTGTATTTTTTTGTTCTAATTATTTAACAAAATATATTATATATGTATATATATGTATTAAATATATTAAATGTGTATAAAAATAAAATAAATTATTTACAAAATGTATATATTTCAAGAAAATATTTTCAAATATGTATAAAAATAGTAAAAGTATTTTTTATATTATTTTTACATTTAAACAAAAGTAAATATAAAGTATTTAATGTATTAATACTAGAATTAATTAAAATAAATATCAAATAAATATAAAAATATTTTTTAAGTATTGTTTATATTTGAAAATAAAATATCAAGGTCAGAGAAAAAATAAAAATGCAAAAATAATGAAAATACAAAGCATTGGGCCAGGGGGGTGTGAACTGAAAATGTTTGTGTGAGAAGTAAAAAAAACCAGGCCCAGCCCAGAAACAACTTCATCTTCTTCCTCAGTTCAGAAACATGCGCGTTCTGTGTATCAAATACTATCTCTTGATTCCTTGCTTTTTTGACAAAACTGTTTCAGTTGACTTCGATCTGGACAATGCAACAACTTCCAAGGGTGCTTGAGGTTCTTTTGAGCTTGCCTGATGTCCAATGAAGCTTTCCCAATGCTTAGTTTGTTTTGAAGTAGCCTGAATCGTGCTACAGAACTCAACCTGCAAAGCTTTGAAACAAAAATGGAAATGTGTGTTAATGGTGTTACAGCTAGCAATGGAGGTCTGGAATAGTTCAGGTGAGTTGAATGGAAGGTGTTTGAAGTAGCTTTGGACAAAACGCACGATGGAATTTGATGATGGCTTGCAAAATGCAGAACTGGCCCTGTTTTACAAGAAAATGGGGATTTTGTGCACAAGGAGCTTCGAGAGGTAAAGGGGCCGTGCTTCTGGCTTGCTAAGGTGTATGAAACTTGTTGTACAACTTCATTTTGGTTGGTCTTATCAGATGTGTGAGATGCCTTGTTTTTGACAAGTTTTCTTCCTTTTGAAGCAAACGAGTGAAAGTGAGGTTATAGACTTGTACAGGCCATCCTATCACCCTACACACAACCCTCTTGGCCCCTCTAATTAGTGGATTTTGTTTGCGGCATAAGATCTGGTTCAATGCTCTAGGATGTTGTTTTGACATAAAGCAAAGTTCAAGCAAAAATGGCATTGTTACTTTTTCCATTTAAGGCTTAATCTAGTGTACAATACCCTAATAACCAAGACAGTGCCTTGGCTCAATGGATTTGCATTAAATTATGGAGTACAAACTGGTTTAGAGGCCTGTAATTGTGAACCAAGCTAGCTAGATCAGATTTGGCAAGTGGTATGAACATGTATTGGCCATGGATCAAAGTGAATTTTTGCCAATTTCAAGCATTCGATTCTCCCTAACCACAAAGGTGTTTGAGGAGTTCTTGGACAATTTGGAAATCTTGCAACATGTACTACAATCCATATTTGAAATTCAACTTGAAACTCCAAGTGGAACTATGTGAAAAATGGCCAAGAAGATGGGTCAAAATCCTGCCTAAACTAGGGCAAAAGTTTTCTAAGTTAAAAGTTTTAGGTACCCTTGTTCCAAAAATCATAACTTTAGATACAAGCTTCTTTTGAGAAAACTTTGTGAATAAAAGTTGTAGAATTTGAGGTGGACTACATCTTTCATGTTGTAAGTTTTGTTTGAATCCATTTGAATCTTGGTGAAAAAATGGGACAAAGTTAGGAAAAAAATAAGAAAATTTTATAACTTAGAAATTTTCTAAGTTATGAAATTTTTCCATTTTAAACCCTAATTTGCATTTTTGGGTTTCTTGATGAACAATTTTCATAATTTGACATGTCTTGGTGAAAAATGATCTTTGGCACTTGATTTTGACCAAAAAGTCAAAGTTTGAATTTTCAGTGTACAGTCAAATTTTGATCAGTTGACTGAAAAATTCATCTGTCAATCCCATACATTTGAGATCTTTTGAACTTGTTGAATAGGTCAAGATGATGTCATTGAGTCCTTGAGTCCATGGTTGAGCTTTATTTGCCATTGGCTAGGTCAAACAGTCAAAAATTGCCTTTGTACAGTCAAAACCCTAAAAATGACCATTTTGCCCTTTTGGTGATCTGATCAAATTTCTTGTGGAATTGTGGTCCAAACTTGGCCAAATGGTTCATATGAGTTCATAATGTTGATGTGGGTCAAAATGCATGAGGTTTGACTGTAAATTGGCCACAGTTGACTTTTCCCCCAATATAACTGATTTCTAGGTCAATTGTCCAATTGACTAGGCAAAAATTTGATTCAAGGCTTGAAACTTGGTATGGACAAACTTATGAGTCCAACATGAAGTAGGAAAGTCAATTTGAGCATTGAAGGTCAAAAAATCCCTGTGCAAACTCAAACCCTAATTTAGGTTAACAGTGCAAGGAGGTGTCTTGAGCAGAGCAAAACCCTAGCTTGATCTTGAGTTCCAAGAGTCTTGTGATGAAAAATGTTGATGAAATGAGAGAGAAAATTTTGGGGTACAACATGTACACATAAAAGAATAAGGAAAAGAAACGAAATGCTTTAGTCAAGGGGAGCATATCACCTGAGACAAACAAGCGGGAGTGAGATGAAAAAAAAAAGTGATGTCCAAAGCGACTGAACACCTAACCCAGATATGGGAGATCGAGGTAGGAGACAAAAGGCAATATGAGTGATCACATATTATCAACATCAGCCAATGCAAACTCCTGAAAAAGCATGGGGGTTCGATTGCGGAAACCTTCCCCACTTGACGACTCGATACATAAGAGAAGGCACAACTCTGAAGCATTGTGGTACATCATGAGCTAAGGATGACACAAACAAAATTGCGGGGGTTGATTGCTAACCCTCCCCGCTCGCCTCCTTTTGAGGACTTAAATAAGGGATGGGTAATAATGCGGGCATAAATATAAACACACCTGTAGAATACCTACTCAAAGGTAAGGTTTTAAATATATCACACACAAGTAGCAAACAGAATGCACACAATGCATAATTTCCCTAAACAGGTCTTTAAATAAACCAGAGGGGTTCCTGACATGATCAACAATGGAGACCCCTGTTATACATCTCTATTCTTACTTCTCATAGCATCAGAAAGCACTAAAGCCCTACTTCTCATGATCTCTAGAAAATTTGTAAAGAAATGCAGTAAAGTGTGAAGATGAGGAACAAATGAAGTTGCGATGATACCAAACGGAGAAGGTCTGTTGCCTCTTCAAAACCACGCGAGCAATAAGAAATCTCTACAGAAGTTGCTTAGCACGAATGGTCAAAGGAATAATCTCTAAGCATCCCATATCGCAGAAGATTTGCCTCAATACTGTCATAGAATCTTAGCTAAAAGTGACAATGAAAATGATTATTAAACATAAAATAATAGAAAACTCTAATAAAATTATAAAGAGAAAACCTAAAAAATTCTACAATATTCTACTTTTTTGTATCATTATCATCATTAAAATCATGAGAAAAAAATGAAGCTAAAATTAATAACATGGAAAGGTAAAAGTAGTAAAAACAGAGGGGGTGTAGACTGAATTCAGGGGATATACGTAAGAAATCTTCTAAGCCCCGAATCTGCAATCAGAAAATAGGTCCACTAACATATTTTGTTGCAATTTTCCTGTGCAAAAAAAAAGTCCTTTGGGCCTAAGAGCGATCCGGTTCGGCCCATCTACCAACAACAAGAACCCACCATCCATTTTCAACATTATTCAGCATAAATGAAATTAAAGAAAAGAAATACAAAATAAAAAATAATTGAGGGAATCAAATGGTGTCGTTGCTGCTTAGGGTTAGCATTATGGCCTTTGGACTTAACACCCAGACTCTCTTCCTCCTCTTTCCCTTCTCACTTGCGATTTCCGATTAGTAATCCGCTGTACCAGAAATCTCCTCTGGCGGCGGCGGAGGTTTAAAGTGCGTCAAACCACCATCACCTTGCTTATAACCTTCCTCTCCTTCCATATCTGATCTCTACTTCTCTCAAACTCTCATCAAAACCTCTACATCACGAACCCTAGAAAACCAAAGTGTGGAATTAACTGGTAACAAAGCTTGCAATTGTGCTGTCGGAAGAGGATAAGTTCTCAGAGGATCCTAAAATACTCCGTGGTATAAAGAAAGCTAAGAGAATTCGAGGAAAGGGCCATCCTTTTGGAGGTAGTTATCATGTTGAAGAGGAAGACGAAATAACCGAGAGAAATTAAATCTCTCAGGTACAACTTGCCGCTTTCAGCTTTACATTTTTACCTCTACCTTCTTCTGCTTCTTTTTCCAAATTTCCTTTGTGCGTGTTATCCCTGAAATGTTGTTGCATGTTGTTGTTGTTGTTGAAGATTCATAGAAATATTGAGGGAGTTGATCGTTGATGATGTGATGTTATTGATGAAGATTGAAAACGATGAAAAAGATTGAGTCGAGAGAAGATGACGTGGAGTTCTTGATGAGGATGTTGATTCTTGAAGAAGATTGCAGAGAAAATGGTGGTGATGATGACGTGCGGTTTCTGAGATAAAAATGGAGTTTTGGATGCAGAATTGATGGAGATGGAGAGGATCAAGGTGCACGACGTCTTTATTTCATATGAAGATGGAGCTACTGGAGTCAAGGAAGAGAAAGATTTAGAACAATGGTGAGTTTTTTCTCTCTGGCGTTTTTCTGAGTTTTTGTGATTGGTAAATAATAATATCCCCCTGTGTTGAATGATTATTGTTTATATAGGTTGTTACGGATGCCGAAGTTTGTTACAACTTAAAGCGATATTGGCCATTGGTTTGATAAATTCAGTTAGGAAATGAAGGGTGAGATTGAAATCCAGTTAGAGAGTTTTCTTCTGGTTTTTGTGGATAATTTTTATTATATCTTGACTGATTCCTTCCCTCTTCACTTATGAATTCTGTTGAGACGCGGTTAGGAAGTTGGTAATTAGGATGTTAGGGGAAATTTTGTTATGCTGTTGGTTAGAAAGTAGTTAAGATTTTCTGTTGTAATTTTTGTAGTGACAGTTTAGAAGTTGGTTGGGGTTAGAAAAGGCAGTTAGGGATAGGTTTCTATTTGCTATTTTCTGTTATGCTTGGTTACCGGTTGTTAGTAAATATGTTAGGGTTCTATTATGGTTAGATGGAAACTGTTATGAGGTTTTGGATCACCTGTTCTGAATTTGTTTTTCATGGGCTTTGAAAGTGATGAAAACAGAAAACATAAAGATCAACGTGAGGTTTTTCTGGTGATTTTCCTCTCCATGATTTCCTCTGACTGAATGGTGAATTGGTTCTGTTATTAGTGCACTTATTATGGATTTTGAATTAGATTCTTGGTTTGCAGGGCTTCGGGTTTTTGTTTATATATGGATGCAAGGTCCGGTTTTTGTAATAAGAAATATGAAGCATGGCATTGAAGTCCATTAGCAAAACAAGACTGAAAGATAGGGTACAAGGCATTTGGTGCAAAGTTAGAAGCATGACATTTAGTGGTAAGGATGGACATGGAGATGGATCTGTATGACATGGCATGACGTTCGGTTAAGGCTTGAAACATGGAGGATGATCGAGATTAGAATAGGTTCTAATTGTTGTGTAAAGTCCCATGTGTGTAATGGTATATATGTTGGAAACTGTAATGTAAATTATAATGAGGTTATGGTATTTTGTAATGGCTAGTAATTCCTTCTCCTTCTTTAATATCCCGAATGAAATGATATTTGGAAGTTGGGACGAACTTGCATACTCAAAGATGAATGATTATATTTTGAGAGAGCCTTGCTTGTAAATTGTCATGTGAATGGACTTGGATCATTAAAACTACGAGTCATGTACAATGATGTTAGATGATGGACGAAATGGTGGGAAATTTCTTGAATCCCTAAGTGGATTTCGATGAACTCTGAAGGATAGTGAAAGATGTTGAATTTGATATTTTGATGATTCCTTTTAAATGAACTTTGGTATCTTGAATAATGCTTTAATAACCTTGAACTTGTATACCTCATTACTTAAATCTTAAGAAATCCAAATGCATTTCCTTTCCAACCTTACAAACCTCCAACAACTTTTATGAATTGAACCAAGTTTGAATCCATGGAATCATTTAAATCCACTTCAACCTTAATCCTAATTAACTCGCATGACAAGCAACAAACAATTAGAAAGAATGACCCCTTGATTACAATCCACATCTTGTACCATGTCTCGATTGCATGAGCAATAGAGTAACAATCTCTTAGATCCTTGAAGAAAATATTCAAGATGACTTTGACCTTAAATCCTAGATCACATAGTCTTTACTTAAACCTTTAGTGAAACCCTAAAGATTCTGCCCTTGATGAAGATGATAACCTTGTAGCTTAATGAGAGAAAGAAGTTCTCAATGATCAAGAATCCAAACCCTAGCTCCACAAACCACAGTTAATGAGAAACCAATTGATTCAAGCCTGAGTGAAGATAAGAGTCTAAAAGCACACACAAAACCCTAACTTCAAGATCCTTGTTCCCATACCAAATTTACTGATTGTTGATGCATGATGTGTTAGATGACCTAATGGAGGGTATGCAGATGGAATGAGAAGCGCAAAATGCATAAGCCAGATAAAAGTGAAAGGGTAGGACAAATTTTGGGTATTACAGCTGCCCCTATTTAATCGTCTTAAACCTGAAACTATGATTGACGCGTGCCTTTTGAAAGTTAGAGGTAGAAGATTATTAAATATCAATGCCAAAAATTTGGTCTGAAAGATGGTGGTAATGAGTATTATTTTTGAAACATCCACTGGGGAATTAAAAGAGGTGGGACTAAACCGGAGGTATACATCGATCAGGACACGACGACATCAGAGTACATCGATCAGGACACGATGACTGAGAGGAAATCACGAATTAGGACACGATGATTAAAAGGAAGACATCAATCAAGACACAATGGCTAACAAGAATACATCGATCAGGACACGATGATTCACAGGAGAGGTATTGATCAGGACACGATAACCAAAAGGAAGACATCAATCAAGACATGATGGCTAACGAGAATACATCGATCAGGACACGATGATTCACAGGAGAGGTATCGATCAAGACACGATAACCAAAAGGAAGACATCCATCAGGACATGATGGCTAATGGGAATACATCGATCATGACATGATGATTCACAGGAGAGGTATCGATCAGGACACGATAAATAAAAGGAAGAAATCGATCAGGACATGATGGCTAATGGGAATACATCGATCAGGACACGATGATTCACATGAAAGATATCGATCAGGACACGATAACCAAAAGGAAGACATCGATTAGGACACGATGGCTAACGGGAATACATCGACCAGGACATGATGATTCGCAAGAGAGGTATCGATCAGGACACGACAACCAAAAGTAAGACATCGATCAGGACACGATCGATAACATGAATACATCGATCAGGACATGGTGATTCATAGGAGAGGTATCGATCATGACACAATAACTAAAAGAAAGACATAGATCAGGACACGATGGCTAATATGAATACATCGATCATGACATGATGATTCGCAGGAGAGGTATCAATCAGTACACAATAACCAAAAGGGAGACATCGTACTTGTAATATAGCATGATGCTAATACAAGGAAGAGGTTGGACTTGTAACGTAGCATGATTCCAATACAAGGAAGAGATCAAACTTGTAACATAACATGATGCCAATACAAGGAAGGGATCGAACTTGTAACCTAGTATGATACCAATACAAGTAAGAGATCAGACTTGTAACGTAGCGTGATGCCAATAGAAGGAAGAGGCCGGACTTGTAACATAGCATGATGCCAATACAAGGAAGAGATCGAACTTGTAACATAGCGTGATTCCAATACAAGGAAGAGATCGAAATTGCAATGTAGCATGATGCCAATACAAGGAAGAGACCAGACTTGTAACATAGAGTGATGCCAATACAAGGAAGAGATCGAACTTGTAACGTAGCATGATGCCAATACAAGGAAGAGATCGAACTTGTACATAACGTGATGCTAATACAAGGAAGAGATTGGACTTGTAACATATCATGATGCCAATACAAGGAAGATATAACTCAGACGAGTGTTTGAATCGATACGGACGAGTATCGAAGAAAGGCTAAACATGGACGAGTGTTTGAATCAATACAGACGAGTATCGAAAGAAGACACAAACGAGTGTTTGAATCAATACAAACGAGTATGAAAAGAAGATATGGACAAGTTTCTAGGAAAGGTTAAACACGGACGAGTGTTTGAATCAATACAGACGAGTGTTAGAAGAAGATACATACGACTACTTAGGAAATCGACATAGACGAGTGCTGGAATTTAAGTTAATTATCATATGAGAACTTACTACCAGACAAGAACTGGGTTTAAAATTGGTTAGCCAGGGCGAGAGCTGGGCTTTGAAATGATAAGGTGTATTGATTTTGCCGGGAATTGTGAAGGTGGAGGTCATCAACTGAAGGTTTGGGGTGACATCCTCTTATGGGGATGTATTGTTGTCCTTGAATGATTCAGGTCTTTTGTGTAAGGTACCTGATCTGGCTTATGCTTCATATGCATGTTTGAATTTCTTTTCCCCCAAAGATCCATTCTAATGGATCGGCTACGCGCTTTTGAGGATGCAATGTTATGCAGGGATAATTATATGCAATGCAAAGAAATATACTTCATGGGGATAAGCGAGGGCTCTTTGGGAACTGTTGCTCATCACTGGAGATGCCAATACATATTAGAGTTGGAAACCCACGGTACCAAATATTGCTGGGGATACTGATAAAAATTTGCAGTGAGGAGCTCATGATGCCGAAGATTATTGGTGACTCCGCTGAAGATTGAATTTCTTACGAAGCAATTTTAAGGTACGCCACTGAATTTTGAATTGTGTTGTTGGGGAAGAGATAATCTGGCCCAACTTCCCTACATCCTAAATCGCTGAGGGGATGGTAAAACTGAATATGCCGAAGAATGGATACTGAACACCATGTAAATCTCTCCTGATACATGCCCCAAATTTACGCCACGCTGGGGAATTACCTCTTGAATCACTTGGGGATAAAAGATGGGCATGGACACCTGCGTATGCCTCAGTTTAAATCTACAAATGCCCTAGTTTACTTCATTGGGGATGCACTTGATTAACTCTATTTTACCCTAATTTTTTTCCCTAAGATCCCTTCATCATACCATATTGGTTCAATAACAACAAGATCACATTAGGGCTTTTGGTTCTCCCCCTATCTTTAGCTTTGCTCTTTGAGGAATCACCAAGAACCTTGACTTGTTTTTCTTTTATGATCATGCATGTTTTGTTTTGACTTTCCTTTTAATTAATAAAATGCAATGTTGGTTTGTCTTAGTTGTTAATAATGTAGGTAAAGGCAGTGAGGCTTAGCAAGTTGATCCATGGGCTCATGAGTTTATTTCCATGCCCTAGTCAATAAAGCTTGAGAAATTCAAACCTCACCATTAAAGTTATTTTGGAAGAAATGTCATGGCAAGGTTTATTTTGGTTCACCACATTTCAAAGTTATCAAGATTTATTCAAAAGTACAAGGGGTTGATTGAAGAAGTTGTCATGGTTGGATGAGGCCTTGTTCCCATTGGTCACAAGTGCATATTTCTCTCAATTCTCAAGATATGGAAGTGGTTTTGGTTGCTAGGAGTTCTCATTATCATCCTCAACAACTTCTATCTACAAAGTAAAAGTGTTTGTACAAGAAGGTTGTTTAAAATTGCCAAAGTTCCTCAAAGCATTTTCTTGATCTAGGAGCTAGGGTTTTGAACTTCAAAGAAGTATATCTTGCTCATATTTTTGTATTTTTGAGTGATTCCAAAAACATTCTTCTATTTAAAAGGTTATTAACAAATCACTCCAAAAGTTTCAAGGAGTTTTCATGTGGAATAAATTTGATGTTGAAGAAAGATTACAAGTCCTCCAGATGAACCCCCAAATTCCCATGTGTGACTTCAAATGATCATAACTTGGTCAATTTTTATCACCTTGAGCCCACTCTTTTTCCATGATGATCTTGAGTATATGAAATTTATTCCTCCTTTTATGTGAAAAGTGACAAAATGGATGGAAGATGCCTTAAGGATGCAAAAGATTATAGGTCATTTCATGATTTTTTTCCAACTTCAACAATTCATAACTCTCTAAATATTTGGAGATTTTGAATGGTTCAAGTCTCAAAATGTCATTCAAGAGGTATATTTCTGGCCATCTTTTTTGGTCAATAGAAAATTCTAAGAGGAAGGCCATGTTTGGATGCAAAACATTATAGGTCACTTTTGAAGAAAAACTTGAAATATTTCTAAGTATGGAAAGTCAACTTCTTTTTTCCCAACTTTGACTCATTGCAACTTTCAGCTCAAACATCCATTTGATTCCATTATTTTCCCATTGCAAAGCTTGTAATCTCATCTTTCTAAAGCACAAGAACCATACACTAAGATCCCTTGAGTTGAAAGTGCCATTGTTTTGAAATTGGTAACTTGAAACTGAATTTCTCACCAAGTCAGAATTTT